CCCGGAATGTGTGCTTACTCTCAATACACTGCGATAGCCCTCATGAACAGTGCTCGTTCAAGACCCATGGTCAAAAAAATCTGAATGCCATTGACCAAAGGTATGGAATGACGGATGGCATAGTCTGATGATCGTGGGTGTGATAATAGCGCGCTAGCAGCTAGCGCGTTTCGTTCGGGCCCCTGACCTCGGAAATCAAGCACTCCGCAAATAAGGAAAATCTTAACACCTTCTGTAAACCTCCGGATACCGCACTACTCCCGGGTTTTCGCTCAACAGCCACTCTTAATTGATTCCCCGTTAACCGGACTGTAAAGAAATTAGGAATACCCGCGGCCATGCACCCATCCATTCCCGGGAGGGAGCATGAAGAGTTTCGCATCTTCATCGCTTATTATGCCACCTCACGACAGATCAAATCCAGTATACCCGTTCTCCGCCGTCTCGTTGATGGTCTTGTAATAAGTCGGCACGCCTCCAATGTACATCAATGGCTCTCTAGGCTTCCCAGGAATATTACTTCCCATGTACCACTATCGCAGCGTTAGTATACCACAATTCTTGATTCATCGGCTCGTTGCGACTCACAGAATCTACACTGGGCAACAGCGAAGCATTAGCAAGCTTCCAGATGAGCTCTTTCCACTGATCTTCGCTCTCCTTCTGGGCTACGATCCTACGAAGCGACTTCTCCTTCATATGGTTCATCATTTGCAAGATCCAGCCGCCTTGCAGCTCAGCGCACGTGGGACCATTGCACAGCGCAGTCGGCGCTTGGGGCCCATATGTGAAAAACATGTTCGGGAAGCCTGCGACAGCCATTCCGAGATACGTCTTTACGCCGTCCTTCCAATGCTCGCTCAAGCTCTCGCCTGACGGACCGCGGATATCGATCTGTTTCAGACCACCGGTAAGGGCATCGTAACCGGTCGCGCTGATGATGTAGTCGAACTCGTGTTCTTTCTCTGTGGTCTTGATGCCTTTCTCGGTAATCTCTTGGATTGGCGTACCCTTTTCGCTGATGCCAACAAGAGAGACGTTGGACTTATTGTACATTTCAAAGTACCCATTCTCCAGCGCGATACGTTTGCAACCGAAGGAATAGGGTTGCTCAATGGGAGCGAGTGTATCAGCGACTCTGTTGTCATTGATCTTCGCCCGCGTCTTGTCTCGCCAAAAGTTGTATGCTTCGCGGTTGGCTTCTTTGCTAAAAAGCATGTCTTGATAAGCCGCAAGCCAGAATTTGAAATCGCCTTCACTCCACAAGTCTTCGTAAACCTTCATTCTTTGTTCTGGCGTATCGTCGAATGTAGAGCGGGGGATGAACTCAAACGAGAAGCCCGAGAAGCGTGTTTTCAACGCTGCGAAGAAGTCCGGATACTCAAGCTTGGCGATGGCTTGTTGCGGAAGGTCGTAGTCGACTTGACGCATTGGCATTGACATGTTCAGTGTCCGTTGGAAGACTGTGAGCTGGCTGGCAGTCTTGCTCAGCTCCTGCGCTATTTGAATGCCGGTAGCGCCAGTTCCAATAACAGCCACCTTCTTGCCGCGGAGATCAGGTTCTTCATGAGGCCAAAACGAGGGATGGAGGAAGGTGCCTGATCCAAGGTTAGTGAGTTTCACTGCGACGGCAATGTGATCCGACCTTTGAAAGAGTCGATGCCTTTCCAGTCGGGAATGTGTCGCTTCGCCGCGAAGCCAGTGTTCAACAAAAGAAACTTCACCTTGTACATCTCGCCTGCCTTTGTTTTCACTGTCCACCTCGCTTCGTCATCACTCCATGTCGCAGATGAAACGAATGTATCAAACTTGGTATCCTTCCGCAGATCCCACACCTTCTCCACGTGAGCAAAATAAGCGCGAAGCTCCGAGCCTGCTGGGAACCTCTGCTTCCATGTCCAATCCTTCCAAAGCGTTGGGTCGGAGAATTCGTAGTGGGGAATGGAGCTGTCGACACGAACGCCTGGGTACCGATTCCAGTACCATACACCACCGTAATCGGATCCGTGCTCCACGAGCTTGACGTTATAGCCTGCGTCGCGGAGTATCTTCAGCTGGTATACACCGCAGAAACCTGCGCCAACTATCAGGGCGTCGAGCTGGTTGATGTGCGTGCCATTGGTGCCGTTAGCACTGCCGTTGAGGGACAGTTTTTGGATATCTTCGATGGAGCCCATGTTGATATATAACCTGAGCCACAGCAGCGCTGGCGGATGTGGAGGATGAAGCCGCTATGATGTTGATTACACTGCAGGTGTAGCTGGGGAAGAGATGACAATGAGGGCAAGCTTACACGGATAGCAGACTGCTGGACTCCTTGCGTAACTTAAATGAATAACCTGCAGTTCATCCGGGATGTATTGGCACAGCGCATCACGCGCGAGAGAGTAATTCTGCAATTCTTGGTCTTGTTCATCAGGCCATACCCCGACGAATCCTTGTGCTCAGTCTCAGACTAGATCGGTGAGAGGTGGTAACACATTGCGTGCCCCGCTTACTCTGGTACGCGGTTCTTCGGAAATGGCACCGCTGTGGAGCTGCCAAGGCTTCTGCGGTACGGCACGCCCGTTGGATGGCTAGTGTCAGTTCATGAAGCGGAAATGTGGTATTTCAGGGAGTTCAACACCTATCGCACGACACAACCTGGACGTCATATTGACATTGCTCCAAAGCACGAAGAGTGCGCTCGTCGCTACTAATTTGTTGTGACACCAAGCTTGGCAGCGCCTGCAGCGGATATGGTCAGTTGCACAGCTACGCGTGGAGGATGTAAGATCCATGTAGTACTATATGCATCATGGAAGGTTCGGCCCTTTTATCATGGGGCCGACGAGCCTGGCGCTACAGGCGGGGAAAGGTGGCGCGGGTACTCACTGGAGGAAGACCGTTTTGTAATCATGACATGCGTTGATGAGGGCTCTGCTGATGCGTCTTACAAGCATGGCAAATCTTGCCGGGCGGTTTTGCACCAGACAATTTGAAGTCAACAATGCATCCGATACCGGCCTATGTAAAGACCGAAAGAAGAACTTCAGCTCCCAGGCCTACACTCAAGTACAATGTGTATATCAGCGGTTACTATCCTCATGCTAGACATTCTGACAGATGCATGTGTTGTTCTAATCTAAAGTCTGCGACATTGTACTTTCAAAGGCATCATGGGAATGTCGCGCACGATCACAATGGAGAGGACAGCTGCTCTGACGTGCATAGCGTTCGTCGATGTGACAGCGTCTAGTCACAGTAGCGTGTTCGTCAGCTGTAAACCTACAAGATGTGAAAATGCGCCGTGTAACCCTGAGTACACAGAATAACCATTATGCCACACCTAACAGTTAGCAATAGACATAATAGGAGACGATAGAAGGTATGAAAAGAGCCTATAGACGTTGACTTAGCGATATAGGGCGTCGTAGTCAGCGCTCGCGGAAGTGCTTGGCAAAAAAGGTTCGCCAAAAGATCAACACCCCAACTCCTGGGCGACGACGACGACATGTCCCTAAGAGCGCAAAAGACAAGGAAGCCCGACGTGGGGGTCGAACCCACAACCTTGAGATAACCAATCGAGTCTGATTAGGACGTGAAAGCTAAGAGTCTCACGCTCTACCGATTGAGCTAGCCGGGCGATGCTGTTGTTTGATGGAAGAAGTCGAGATTGAAACGCCTGTATACTCGGATAATGCTGTCTGATGGTAACGTTCAGGCTATAGCAAACCAGGCTACAAATTGCTCAAGTTTGGGATTGGTGGTTGTGGTAGCAAAGAAAATTTCTTGCGGTCGTGTGGGGCCGGCGGCGGCGGAGGACCGGCGAACATCGTGCGTGTAACCTACATGACTTGTCAACCGAGAACGATCATGCTGACGCTCTTCTACTGTTCGGAAGGATTTGCTGGTGTTACGGAGGGAAGGAAATTGTTTGCAACCCATACTTCAGTCGCGGTATAGGGGCGTCCGGCGGGCATCGATGCTGCGACGACGTGTGTCACCACCAACAGCGAGCTCCTGAAGTCAGGTATCCCTGCCTTACCACTTGCTACACACGGGAAGATGACATTGCTGGCACTCGGCATTGAGATCGCGAGGCTAGTTACTGCAGTGTAAATAGGGGCTCATGACAGTCCAGTCGCACGCCCTGCCTAGGCACGCCTTATGAACTCCAGACCGCTCCTTGCTTGGACTCATAGATCTGGCGTAGGCACCACGCCAGCAATGAAGTCCGGGTCGGATCGATGTAGTTGTTCTTGATGTGCTACGTGCACTAGGTGTGTAATGGGCGCATGTTGCGACGCAGTTAGGCTGAGGCAGCTACCCGGGGGAGCGATGGATCAACTGAGAGTGGCTCAATGTATTGGTGCAATGTAGCAATAAAGACCGCAAGAACATCGCAAGCATCTGATAAAGATTCAACGAAACCAAGAGTCGTTGTTGAGGTTGCAGTGTAGTGCTCCTTGTGGACACCTTACACCCCATAGCTGCAGCACCCTGATGACGTATCCACTCCTGTCCCCACGTGCACAGACCACTACCTCAGCTCGGATCAGACGGCTTCACCCAACACAGAGCCTCGTCCTTGTTGCAGTCGACGTTCGCACAAGCTTTCTGATCGACGTCTAGTGCGAGACTGGACTTGAGAATTTTGGTGACAGTGCGAGGCTGGGTCCTAGGATTGGTGCATATCTAGTATCGACTTCGGACATGTCGATTCAGACTGGTTCCCTACTCCAAGCGTACCACGGGAGGGCTCAGGTTAGCATTTTTGATAGCTGATTGATATGAAAGCTTGGACTGAACTCATGTTTCACGTTGAGAAGTATACTGTTGATGGTATAAATTGCTGCCGTTACATCGTTTACTCATACATCATGAGAAGAGGAAATTGCAATATGCATGCATGCAGCCCACCGCCCCCAAGAAAGGTATACTTGCGACCCAACGCCTTGCTGTAACATAAACAAATAACCCCCAAAGATACAGGATTCATCATGGTGATTGCCAAGTGCTCACCGATAGATCATCTCTTCCCTGAGAACACTCCTCGGCGGACTGGGTACGTGTGGCGCAGGGAGACTCAACCTCTTCGTTTCGACCTTGACCTCGCGCAGATCGATTTCTTGTTCCAGTTCGCCGACATCGTGGTATGTTCCCACGTGTTTGACAAGGCTGTCTACTGTCCGGCAAATCGCGTCGACATCTCTGCCCTTGCTGCAAATTGTGCACGCGTACTCGCCATTTGGAGTATGGCATTTGATGACGAAGCGCTGGGCAAGACGGAACTCGCGCGTGTCCATGATGTCGTGCTCATAGCCAGTTGTCTTGTCCCAGATGGTGACGGGTGTTCGTTTGCCTATCATCCAGAAGTCTTCGCTGGTTACGTCGAGGCGCACGCCGCATGCAGGACATGCGCAGCTACCTCCAGGGGCAAAGGAAGCTGCCAAGGGGTTTCCGGGCATGTATTGTAGATCGAGTGCGTAGCGGCAGAAGAGTTGCTCGGGGCCATCCATGGGCATAATAGCACTAGGCGCGCGCTGCGAAGGGACGAGGGAGCGCGGAGGCGATGCAGGGCGGGGTGGGGGTGGTGCGCCGACTTGCGAGCCTCCTAATCGTTGTTGCGCTTCTTGTAGAGCGATCATGGAGCCTTCCCTGGCTTGGTTTGAGGCGGCGATGAGTTTGGACATGTCGGCGCGAGTCAATTGGCGGTCGTTGTATAGGGCATCTTGGAGGACGTTTATAACGGTTTGTTGGAGGGAGATGATGTGCGCTTGTAGTTTGTTCTCGACAATGGCTGTGCGTGGGGTCAGTCTTGTCCCAGTTCTCCAGAGCAATCAACTTACCATCACCCTGGGCGAACCGGCTGCCCATCCTGCCATAGCCTTGGTCATACATCCTCTGAACCATCATACCATCCCTCTCAAAATTGTTTCCTACGTCGTCGCGCCCTCCACCGTTCTTTAGCCGGTCAATCTCCTGTTGTCTACCATCGGCTCTCTTCTGCGCCTCTTCGAACTGCTTCTTCAGCTCCTTGATCTCGCCATCTTGTTTCGTGTCGCGCTGTTTTTGTCGGTGCTGTTGGCGCTTGTCTGAGACGCGCTCCCATAGCCCCATAGACGCCGTGAACGTGCCGACAAGCGTGGACGCCAACGTGGCCACGATGAAGGTTTTCTGAGCCGCACGTGTTAGATTTGCGATCAATAGTAAGCACTAAGTGGGCATACCTTGAGTTTCTCCTCTTCGATCCATGATGCGTAATTCATTGTCGCGTTGGTGGTGTGAGCAAGTAGGCTCGTACGCCGCTTCAGTATCGAACCGCGGAAAGGGCCGAGGAGATGGCGTGTTAAGGTTGCACGTTGGAAAGACGACACGTGCGTGCTTGACAGAATACGATCCCAACTCTTTCTAGCCTCGTGAAGTAGCCGCCTTATCAGAAATCGGTAATGCAACAAAGTGAAGTAGGAAAAGAAAAGCGCGGAGAATAAAGCGCAACCCCCTCCGCATTGCCAATGACGCACTCTGTCCTCCGCCCGTCCTGTAACACACGCGAGTCGAGCCCCCAAACGGCGCCCGACCTTAGATCAGCCGGGCATGGGAAATAGCGGCAGCTGATTGCACCAAATGTCGCGCAAATATCGGAATGGGCATGGGCGCAGTGCTCTGACCGCTGGTTTCACGATGTGTTGCGAGCCGCGCCAGCAAAGTGGATGCGCCATGTGCAGTGATGTCATGCCGCTAGCTGGATTGGCTTTAGCTGACATGCGGGAGATGAAGCCGGCGAGGACCGCAACCTTAATATAAGCATGGCGGCCACGAGACGCCTCGATGGAGTCGTATGAGGTTTGCAAGGAAGCCTCCAGGTTGCGGTTTCACATGCATCAAGTGAACATGGCGGCGATCCTTGGAAGTCAAGTCTGCTTAAGCCGCTCCAACGCGTCGCACTCCCAATGGCACGTTGTGTGATCTTTTGTCGATATTCTCAACGGCTACGCATGAATATACTTAGGTACCTGCGCAGTACATATATGACCTGAGATTGTCAGGGGTTTGTCCATTCCCGGCTGCCTGTCATCACCGACCCCTTTGTAAGCTGACTGCATTGCCTTCCCGCAGCCGAAAGCATGTTGGTGTCAGCTACCCGGCGCCTGCCGAGAGTATCTTCAGTCCTTGTTTTGTTGTTGTACGCGACATGGGATTCTTCAGGTTTGGACGGTCCGATAAAGATGTCGATCTGATTCTGTACAAACACCGTGCTAGTCCGTGTCGTTGATACGTCAAGGACATGACGTGAGCGTACGCCCAATGCAAGTCTACGGCGCGACGCCCAGGTACTGAAACAGCATCAACCTGGACGCACGCTTCACCGACTCTTTCGACAAGGTACCGTTTACTATCGGAAGTAATGTAACAAGCCCAGTTTCTCCAGAGAGCATCAACATTTGCTAACGAACATAAAGTCTGTTACGACACAGAAAGTAGTAAAAGCCAACAGGGGAGAAAACAAGACGAGAATAGCAAATGAATACCTCGCTGTATCCTATGTATGCCGCGCGTCGACAAGCATTCCGTTTATGAACGTCGTCAAGAGCACTATTGTCATTTGCTTCACTATTTGCTTACAACGATCTCAATCGCGTACTGTGAACAGAGACGTCAAGAAAAACCCAAGCGCTAACATCGAGCAAGGTCTCGCTAGTAGCTGTCAACTTTAGAAAAGGTAGTCTTCAGCCACTCTGAGATGGTGTCAAACATGGCATCTTTTGCAGCTATTCTCGCTTTCTCCGCTTCGGGATCCTTAGCGGGAAAGCCTTCGAATGCATGTGGCTGGCCAAATACTTTATAGTATTGCACCCCCAGCGCCGACCAGCCTTCCTTGTTCGGAATCTTAGCCCTGCCGCCCGCAAGCTTCTCAGCCATGACTTCGACCTCGCGGCAGAACATGTCATGCTCAGCTCCGATGAGTAGAAGCGCCGGCGGCAACCTTTCTCTTGTAGCGAAATACATTGGACTCAAACGCACATCCTGCATGGAGGGCTTCTGGGCTTCATCCAGGTACAAATTCATGATGTCATCGAAGCTCTTTCCGATGAAGTCAGGGACTTGAGGATCTGGCCGAGTTGCCATCTTTGTATCGCTATCGGAGTCGAAGTCAACGGCAGGGTAGATGGATACGACACCCAGAATTTTGGACAGTAGCCGCGAGTCTTGGGCCGCGCCAAGGGTAAGATTACCTCCAGCTGAACTGCCGCAGAGGACGACTTTTGACTTGTCGATAGGCAATTCTGGATCATCAATCACGGCGAGCGTTTGAGCGATGACATCCTCGTAGGCAGTGGGGAACTTGTTTTGGGGCGATTTGCCATAATCTATGCTGACTACGATACAGTTTGCATGATCAGCAAGATGTCGCGCCAGAACATCGTCGGCTGCGGGATAGTTGACGATGAAGCCACCACCGTGAGCTCTGATGACGAGGGGCAGCGGAGTCTGTTTGCCTTGAGAGTCTTTTGGTATGAATGTACGGCAGCCATAAAGACTCGGTCGACAAGGGTAGTTCTTGATAAAATCGGGTTGAGTTGCGGGCGCTAGCCAGGGTGAGGTCCGGACATAGAGCGAGGTATGAGCGATTGCTCGGATGCAGGCAAACTGAACGTGCGCCAGCGTCCACATGTCGAATTTCCAAACGCTCCTCGGGTATCAATGCTATTGTAACTGATAGAAATCAGTGAAGCTGGCTTGTAGGTGTTTGCCTGCGCCAGCTGGGCGAAGGTAAGGTGGGGTTATCTGGGGGCCTTGTGCACATATCCGGCCTAGCTCATGGAGACGGTCACTAGTCCCAATGCAGCGAAAGCCGCGGAGATAGCAATGGCGCCCTGCAACGGATCAATAATCGAATGATGACAAAACGTCGAGGGGCAGCAGCGATTGAGCTACCCCACTCTCGAGTTTCATGGGTGGTGCAGTCGCGCGTGGCCGGCATCGGGCCATGCAGGACCTAGCATCATCTTTTGTCCATTTCGAAGATTCGTTCCGTGCCTGTTGATGCCTTTGCGCCCCTGAGCTTCACCATTTATCGTCAACATGGCCACTCCCAAGATCAGTGGGCGGGGAATCCGCATTGCGATTGATGTATGTCTCACTATCGTGCGTACAACTGTAGCTGACAAGGCAGCGCGGCGGTACCTTCACGGACTGCGTAGGTAACCCCGGCACGGGCAAGATGGAAGACGACATTCTCATCAAGCTCCTCTCCGTCGACCCCTCCAACTACGATGACGCGCCGCTCGAAGGCATCCGCCGCCTCCTCTCCAAGTTCACCGGCACCGAGATCCCCCGTGGACAGCCGCTCGACACGTCCAAGATCGAGAGCATACGCATGGGCACCACCGTCGCCACCAACGCGCTGTTAGAGAGGAAGGGCGAGGACATCGCCATGGTGGTCACAAAGGGCTTCAAGGACTGTCTCGAGATTGGTAATCAGAGCAGGCCGAACATCTTCGCGCTGGATATCCGGAAGCCCGAGGTGCTGTACAAGAAGGTCGTCGAGATCGATGAGCGCGTCACCCTGGAAGACTACGCGGAAGATCCGGAGAGAAACCAGACACAGGCAAAGAGCATAGAAGAGGCCGGAGACAGCGCAGAACTGGTCAAGGGCTTATCGGGCGAGACTGTGCGCATACTACAACGACCGCAGGAGGAGGCGATAAGGAAGCAACTGCAGGAAGTCTACGATAGTGGACTGAAGAGCATCGCCGTCTGCTTGATGCATGGATACACATACCCCAACCACGAGGCCTTGGTGGGCAAGATCGCGAGGGACATAGGCTTTGAACACGTCAGCTTGAGCCACGAGCTTATGCCCATGATCAAACTGGTCCCGCGCGCTACCTCGGCCTGCGCAGACGCATACCTCACCCCCGCAATCCGGAAATACATCGATGGCTTCTCCAAGGGTTTCGAAGGTGGTCTTGGCTCCAAGAGTGTGAAGCGCGAAGAGGGCTCCAAGGGCGCTCGCTGCGAGTTCATGCAGTCGGACGGAGGCCTGGTAGACGTCGACATCTTCTCTGGCCTGAAAGCCATCCTATCTGGTCCTGCTGGAGGAGTGGTTGGCTATGCGCTCACGTCATACGACCCCGAAACCAAGATTCCCGTCATCGGCTTCGACATGGGCGGCACCAGTACAGACGTGAGCAGATACGGCGCCGGACGCTACGACCACGTCTTCGAGACCACCACAGCTGGCGTTACCATACAGTCTCCACAGCTCGACATCAACACTGTCGCAGCAGGTGGTGGTTCGCGTCTATTCTGGAGGAACGGACTGTTCGTCGTAGGCCCCGAGTCGGCAAGCGCACACCCTGGGCCAGCATGCTACCGCAAGGGTGGCCCACTTACCATCACAGACGCAAACTTGTTCCTTGGCCGCTTATTACCCGACTTCTTTCCGAAGATTTTCGGCAAGAATGAAGACGAAGGCCTCGATGCGCAAGCGAGCGAGAAACTGTTCAAGGAACTGGCCGAGCAGATCAACAAAGAGGTCGCAGGTGGTAATAAGGAGAAGGAGATGTCGCTGGACGATATCGCAAACGGATTTATCAAGATCGCTAATGAGACCATGACCCGGCCGATTCGAAGTCTAACAGAAGCCCGTGGACACGATACAAGTAAGCACAGGCTCGCCACTTTTGGTGGTGCGGGTGGCCAGCACGCCGTCGCCATCGCCGAAGCACTTGGCATCTCGCAAATCCTGATTCATCGCTACTCATCAGTGCTATCAGCATATGGCATGGCTCTCGCTGATGTCGTCGATGAAAGACAAGAGCCAGAGTCTACAGTATGGTCGGACGAGAAGGATGTGAGAGAGTACTTGCAGAACAAGATGGCAGACCTCAAGGGCAAATCAACAGCTACGCTTAGAGACCAGGGCTTTGACGAAGAGCATGTCCAATTCGAAGAGTATCTCAACCTGAGGTATCGCGGAACAGAGTCGGCACTTATGATCATCAAGCCGACGAAGGAGGAGGCAGAGCAAGAGTACGACGGCGATGAATGGGCTTTTGGCAAGGCTTTCGTCAAGCAACATGACCAGGAGTTCGGCTTTACTCTACCCGATCGCGACATCATTGTCGATGACGTACGAGCTCGCGGCATTGGCAAGACTTTTGAAGGTCTCGAGAAGAGTGTAGATCAGCAACTCAAGGAGATCGAACCAAAGGACCTCTCAGGAGGCACAAAGCGCGGAGGCACAAAGCGCTACGATACCCGAAAGGTCTTCTTCGAAGGCGGCCGGCAAGATACGTCCGTCTACAAGCTCGAAGACTTGGAAGTGGGCGATCGATTGAAGGGTCCAGCAATCATCGCAGATGGCACGCAGACCATCGTCGTGACGCCTGGTGCCACTGCGCTTGTCATCCATACTCATGTGGTGATCAACATTGGTGAGACGGAAGACCAAGATAAGCAGGTTAACACGAAAGAAGTCGACCCGATATTGCTCAGTATTTTTGCTCATCGGTTCATGGCTATTGCTGAGCAAATGGGCCGCGCGTTGCAGAAAACCAGTGTGTCAACGAACGTCAAAGAACGATTGGACTATTCCTGCGCACTGTTCGATGCGGATGGCGGACTAGTCGCTAATGGTAAGTTGATCGCTGGAGTAAACTGAATCAGCTAACACTCGTGTAGCTCCCCACTTACCGGTGCATCTCGGAAGTATGTCAACCTGTGTCCGCAAACAAGCCGCCATTTGGAAGGGAAAGCTCAAGAAAGGCGACGTCCTTGTCTCTAATCACCCCATGTTCGGCGGTACCCATTTGCCAGACATCACTGTGATCACACCCGCGTTCAGTGGCGACAACATCATCTTCTACGTCGCTTCCCGCGCGCATCATGCCGATATAGGCGGAATACTTCCTGGCTCCATGCCCCCTGCGTCAAAGGAACTTTACCAGGAAGGTGCGGCCATAAAATCCGAGAAGCTGGTGTCAGAAGGACACTTCAACGAGAAGCGCATCACCGAGCTACTCTTTGATGAACCAGGCCAATATCCTGGCTGCTCGGGTACGAGATGTCTCAGTGACAACATCAATGATCTGAAGGCCCAGGTCGCCGCTAACCAAAAGGGTATTAACCTAATCAACACACTAATGTCGGACTATGGCGAGCGAGTCGTCAAGTTCTACATGACAAGCATACAAGCCAATGCGGAGCAGTCCGTTCGCGCGCTGCTAAAGGACGTATACAAGCGATTCGAGGGCCAAGATCTTAGCGCAGAGGACTTCATGGATGACGGTAGTCCAATACGACTGAAGGTCTCTATTGATCCCGAGAAGGGTGAAGCTGTCTTCGACTTCTCTGGTACCGGGCCTGAAGTGTACGGAAACATCAATGCGCCAGAAGCCGTTACCTACTCAGCCATCATATACTGTCTTCGCTGTCTGATCAGCGAGGACATCCCATTGAACCAAGGCTGTCTCAAGCCTATTCACGTTCTCATCCCCAAGAAGTCGTTCCTCTCGCCGTCTGACAATGCCGCTGTTGTGGGTGGCAACGTGCTCACAAGTCAGCGCGTGACAGATGTCGTCCTCAAAGCGTTCCGTGCTTGTGCTGCAAGTCAGGGAGATTGCAATAATCTTACCTTTGGATTTGGCGGTACAACATACGGAGAAGGCGAAAAGAGCGGCGAACGCAAAGACACGAAGGGTTTTGGATATTACGAAACAATTGCAGGAGGATCTGGTGCAGGCTCGACCTGGAACGGCACCAACGGTGTTCATACGCACATGACCAACACCCGAATTACCGACTCCGAGGTCTTCGAGCGAAGATACCCCGTTCTTCTCCGCGAGTTCTCACTCAGGGAAGATAGTGCAGGTAAGGGCATGCACATCGGTGGTGAGGGCGTAATCCGCGACATCGAGTTCCGCATCCCCGTCCAAGTCAGTATCCTCAGCGAACGAAGAGTTTACCATCCGTATGGTATGGAAGGAGGAGGAGATGCCGCATGCGGTCTGAACATCTGGGTGAAGAAGGTTGACAAGAAAGCCATCGATCAAAATTCCGACTCCAAGCGTCCAGCGGAGTCTGTGGAGGATGCGCATGCGCCTACCACTTCCTATGCAGTTGAAACGCTGCTGAAGAAGGATGCCGATATCAGGAAGGAAGATGTGGAGTACAGATACATCAACATGGGTGCTAAGAACACGGCAGCCATGCGGCCTGGTGAACGCATCATCATCCACACACCTGGTGGCGGTGGCTGGGGCAAAGAGGGCGAGCAAAGTAGGGTGCAGGATAAGATTGACCCTAAGGGCAGCTGGAAGGGCGGAAGTATAGCCGGAAGGCAGAGCACTGCGGAGGCCAGTGCGTAGAAGACATCTTTGTATATCTTGTGAAAACTATAACGAACACATTCCACCTTCAAGCACAGTCTGGTGCATGTGACTCACATTGCGGTATCAACGAGAAGCATCGCCCTCTTAGATGCCCTCCTCAAACCACCGTCTGACTTCCGCCTCGCAAATTTCTCTCCAATCCTCCCCAGCCCCGCCTTCCCTTCGATGCGCCTTCGCCCACCCCTTGGCAATTTTATCCACCACATCCTCTCTCCTACCCTTCCACCTCGGAAAAAACCGCATATTCTCCGCCTCAAACTCATCCACAGCCTCTTTCGGCACCGGCCACGTCTTCCCAAAATTCTCCCCATTATCTAGTATAACATCGCTCACTGTGATGCCATACATGGGCCTGTCCGCCATCGCCCTGGGTAGCAGATGCGTAAGATCTATCCGCCTATACACCATGGAAATGTACATGGCGGTTGTGAGAAAGTACTCCAGCGGATCACGATTCTCCTTTGAGCTGGCGGGATACTTGAAGTCGGCGAAAGTGATAGCGACACGGATGTGTGGGTGTTTCCGGCAGAAACGTGCTATGTAGACGAGGTCGTCCCATTTTATCGGGCTGATCCAGCGTTTTTGCAAGATAGGTATGGCATCCTCCAGTTTTTTGTAGTGTAGTGAGAAGTTGATCCAGTCGCGTTGTTTCGGGGTACAGCCTGCGAGGAGCAGATCGAGATCCGAGGCATATTTGGCTTGGACGGTGTTGTAGCGGAGTTCCAAGTCAGCTGCTTCTGTGTAGAGTTGGCGATTTACGTGTTTGAGTTGGTTGACAGCGGGGGGGTAGGTGCTGTGTTTATTTGGGGGTTGGCGCAGCCCTCGCCACCGAGATGTGGGTAGTGGTGATAGTTGCTTGGAAGGAGCAGTCAGTGCGAATGTGTAGATGAGGTTGCGCAGTTCGCCTGGCAGGCCTAGTAAAGAGGGTGTTGGATACGGTACATGCGTCTTTTCAGGGCTCTTTGTAGACTGACTGGTTTTGGCACTCGCTTTCGCCTTCTTTGTTGCGTAGTCATTGGGAATGTGTGGACCATCGTACTCAGAGTACTTTCTTTTGCGTGTGACCCAGACTATCTTTGCAGCTCGTTTTTCGGGACGCGAGACCAGTGGAGAGGCAACGGAAGTATGTACCTGCTTTGATGGTATTTTGACAACGAGATCAATCCAGAAATGCGTAGCATTAACATTTACATTACTCTAGTAGGTATGAGAAAGTCTTGGAACCGAGAGGCATGATGCGCATAATAAATGCAAGCATATCAAAGCCTCGACCGCCTCACTTGCTTTCAGCAATCACACCATCACTCTTCCTCGCATTCGCAAAATTCTTACTCTCGTAGAACGCAATCATATCCTTCCAGACTTTCTCCCATTCGTCCTTCATCCACCCATGTTCTGCGACCCAAAGCTTCTCATGCACAACCTTCAACGAGCCATCGCCCTCTCCCTCGGTGGGGAAGAAACCGCCCCATTGTCTTTCCAACTTCGTCCCGGGATATGCGCCCTCAGGACCAAACTGCCAGTTCAGGAATGCTTGCTCCGCCATCAAACAGTTGTAATTGTCGGTCTTGACATAGTTCTGGAGAAGGCGAGCGTGCATACGCAAAGAAGGAGTGAAGACCATTGAACCGACATTGATGTTGGGGTGCTTAGCATCGAGATCTTGCGCGACGCCAGCGAAGATATAAGGTTCGCATACCGGGCCGTCCTCAAGGAAGTCATCGAGATGCAGCTTCTCAGGTATGCATTCCTGTATCGGCGCAAGCTCAAACATCTCGTCCATGTTCGACAGCGGAAAAGCATCAGCGTCCAGAAACAGGATGCGCTCAAACTCCGTCTCTTTCCACATGTTGAGCTTGGCGAAGAGGTCTTTCCATCGGTCTTCTACGCCGTCGACATTGCACTCCCAATGAAGAGGTGGAAGCTCGCGGACTAGGGCGCCAGCTCCTTTGAGGAGTGCGCGTTGCTCTTCTGTGACATATTCGGCTACGAAGACGATGAAGGGGTACTTTTTACTACGTGTGCGGGATGACCAGAGTAGTCGGTAGATGAGCGAGTGGATGGCGAGGAAATATGGGTCCTTCAAGGAAGGATTGCGAGTAGCGAGAAAAGTTGCATACGCATATCCTCTCGGACCATTGGGATTGTAGTTGCGAGGCTTCTGTGCCAGGTACTTTTGGAGTACTGAAGTGGGAAGCTCGAGTTGGAGTTCGTCTTGAAAGTTGTATTTCGTTCCGGGTACGTGTTCCGTACTAAACGGTGGCGAGGCTCCTGCGAAGGAAGGTTCCGGGTGAAGGCCAGAATCGGAATGTGCGTTGGCTAAACTGGACGGCCGAATACCGTCTAGTAAGCCCTTCTCTCCGATTGCGGATGCATCGTCATGGTTGGAGACACGGTGCCCGTCAGATGGCAGGATCTCGATCCCGTCAATGTGCCCGTCTCCATGCGCATATGAGAAACCATATCGGTGTTGTGCGACAAGGTATACGGTTCCGAGACAAGCAAGTGTCGCTAGGGTAATGTTGTGTCGCCGTCGCATATTGTGTACGGAAGTACAGTTCAGGTTTCGCGATGGACCTTTAGTCAGGTCTAGATGCAACCTTCGTGAAAAGGAGGGGAACTTCACATGCGCATTTGGTCAAACTGCTAGGGCGCCGAGCCGTGTCGTAGTCCAGCCGACAACAAGGTGCATGTCGCCTGAATGGAACCGTGACACTGACGACGACCTGTTGATCCTGATCAAAGTCCCAACACAATTGAGAGCAAGGGTCGAGTTAATCACGCACGGTGATGTCGCCAATTCCGGGTGCTGCCGTCAGCATGATCGGCAGGCGAGCAAGGACCACCAGTCCATGCCGAGCAAGTACCCCATGGGGCGCCGCTTCGGAGCAATCTCCACTTTGGATCACCAATAAACATTTGCACCAACATGATAATGCATCTTACCCGTTTAGCACCTGCAGTAGCGCCGTGACGGGTTGCCCCTGGCGTGCCAACATCACATGAAGCCGAGCCAAAAGTGTCTAGAGGAGTCGATAGTCGGCCACCGCATTGCGATGACACAAACGAAGATTTGTGGATGAAGACTATTTCAATTTCTTCTAACGTACAGAGTAGCTGCGCTGGTGTTTTGGAGGGGAGACTTGTGGCTGGATGGTGCATCTGTAAAGCCAATTTGCCAGCTTGACGCTGGGCTCATCGACTAGTTTCGTGACAACCTCGGCTGCATACAGCGTAATGGGTAGGATAATTAGCTGCGATAGCCAAAATGCAGGCTCGAGCCCCATGGGCCCCCCCTTGGGAAGCGGGAACTTGTCGACCCATCCTGGGAGACCGTCCTGGTGGAACGGTCTTGAAAGCCCAACCGCGGCATAAATTCGGTCTCCTATTGTCCAGATGACTAGGCCATGAACTAGGTACAGCGCGAATGAGATGCGCGCGAGGTACTGGCAAACCCCGGTCTCGAAGAAGCGCTTCAGCAATGGTAGTCGTGGAATCGACGCTACGGCTAAGAACGCAGCCCAGAAGAGGTAGAACCATTTGGCGTCAAAGACAGCTTGAGGCTTGAGATGCGACAGCCAGATCCATCCAGGAGATTTTGAGATGAGTACTGTGTGATCGATGTCGGGTGCATCAAATGCTGGTACACCGCCGAGGTAAAGTGCAGCGATGAAGAGGTGGAAGAATATGAGCTCCTTGAACCCAGCCAGCGCACTGAGGAATCGTGGAAGCTGGTCTTGCTCGGCCAGCAGGTCGAGGTCGCAGAGCAGCATTCCGGATATGAACAATGCTCCGTAGAAGCCGTCTACCACGTACAGGAAGTAGAAGGCCAGAGCCACCTGGCACATGAGGCGAGCATTGCGTGTGCATCGGGAAAGAGCGGAGAGTGCGGTGTAGACGATAATGGATCCTTTGAACTCAATCGGAATTGACCAGGAATGAGGGTGGTAGGGCTCTGTAAATTCGTAGATATTCGTAGAGAAGACGAAGCTGTAGTTCTTGAAAGTTCGATACCAGCTGATGACATCCTCGCGGAACGTAGGTTCCATATTGCGCATATCGACAGATATTCCACTCCAATGGCGGAACGACATCCACGCAAAGGTGACGACGATGATGGGAAGGTATAGTCGAAGCCAGCGGCGGAAAAGGGCAGAGCCGACGGTGTTCGACGCACTTGAGATCTGGCCCTCATGGATTTGTTGTAGGCTTTTGAGCGAAAGGACATATCCTGAGATGACGAAAAAGATAGCCACTGCGAAGTGACCACCAGAGAATATGAGTCGAAAGAATGGGAATGCTGCCGAGTAGTATTTCCCATCGTAGCCAAACGAAGTTTCGAATGCTTGATTGCCCTTGCCTCCATGAGACCAAAGTTGGTTATGGTGCAGGTACACCAAGAACGCCGCAAAGCCCCTAAGGCCATCCAGCCATGCTGTTGGTCTTGCAGGCTTGCTCTTCGTTATTGAGCGTAAGCTCAAGAATTCGGGACGCACTGCGTTGAGACTCAATTTCGTTGTTCGTACTGGTTTCCATATTGTCGGCGAGAGTTTGACATCGTCAAGGCAACCTTTGTCGAGCAAGCCCTGGTGTGTGGCTGGCATAGCTGAATCCGAAGCGGTAGCAGAAGTGATGGCAGCTGTGGTTTCAATCGAATGTAAAGGTCAATATCTAAGAATCCCACAAACGCTTGGTACACGAGCGAATGGTGCGGGTGTCGCGCGAGGCTAGAGAACGCGTAGTTTTCTGACGGGAGCTATGCCTTTAGCTTCCCTCAACCGAGGCAGCATGTGTGGTTCACAACGGTAAGTTTAATAAAGCGATCGTCCAGGTCGAGTCGATCATGCAAGCGGGGCATGTTGAACTTGGCATCATACCCCAGAAGGATCCGAGGTTGCACCATCTTGTGAAGTCAACAGCCCACGAATCAAGACAGTTTGATATCATAGACAATACAGTTGGGCCGTTCCTGATGAGAGACGTCCGGTGCGGGGCTTGAGTGGGGATACTACCGTTTGTGTCGACGCCTCCGACCATCTTGCAGGGATCATCTAGAGAAGCTTTAGCCTAGGCGTCTTGACCCAACATCGCCGCCGCAATGATGCAGGCGGCTCCTTAGCCATGCGACGCACATGCGCTATTGAACACCCGTCACGAGGCTGGTCCTGCATTCAACAGTTGTACCGATGTACCGAGGAAGTAGAGCTGCGCGGGGATTGGTGGGCGCAAGGGCCGAATGTAAAAACGACAGGAGGGTCTTGGAAAAGATAGTCAGTGAGCTAATCTCTCAAAGACTCAGGATGGCTGGATCGAAATAGTCGCCTGCTTTTTGTAATAACCACAGCATGCGCACGCGACCCAGGGCACCTCCACCCAAGCTTCACCTCAATATTGCAATGGCTCCCCATTCCCCAATTGCAGCGCACTTCTCGGGCAAGCTCACGAGCCAAGTGAGAAGGGTCCTGCCTGCATATCTTGCCCTGCTTTTCATCTTCTTGTTCTTCGCCAATACACACTTCTTTACTACACCCATTCGGGCTGCCAACAATTACAGGCGCGAGCTCAGATATCAACAGCCACTGCAGCTAAAAAGTGATGTGATTCCGAGGAAGATTTGGCAGACATGGAAGGTCGGCCCTCTAGGCTTCGAGAAACGCGACTCGGATTCAGCGAAGACCTGGCCGGCGAAGAACCCCCGGTATCGGTACGAGGTTTTGACGGACGATAACGCGAACGATTACCTCGAATTCCACTACGGCGCTCACGGTATCAACAGACCAGACCTTGTCAACCTTTACCGAGAGCTTAACATAACGATCATCAAGGCTGACTTGCTTCGTTATCTCGTCATGTACGCCGAGGGTGGTGTGTATGCCGACATAGATGTGGAATGTCTCCGTCCTATCGATCGATTCATACCCGAGCGGTACATTGAGGAGGAGGTCGATATGATTATTGGTGTCGAGATTGACGAGCCAACCTTCGCCGAGCACCCCATCCTTGGTGGCAAGTGCAAGTCCTTTTGCCAATGGACGTTCGCCGCCAAGCCCAGACTGCCAGTCATGATGAGGCTCATGGAGAACATACAAGCGTGGCTACATGAGCTGTCGCATCAGAAAGAGGTCGAGATATCAGAGCTGCAGCTAGACTTCGACGAGGTCATAAGCGGGACGGGTCCTTCTGCGTTCACAAAGGCTGTATTGGAGCAGATGACTGCACAGAATCAAGGCAAGCCGGTTACCTGGGACCTCTTCCACAATCTTGCGGAGTCGAGACTCGTCAATGGCATCCTAGTGTTGAATGTGGAAGCTTTCGCAGCCGGCCAAGGCCACTCGGACTCCGGTAACCATGACTCAAGGGGGGCTTTGGTAAAGCATCACTATCATGCTTCGGGATGGCCGACACTCCACCCGCGCCGCAATCACCCCATGTACGGCGAGGTAGAGCAATGTAACTGGAAGCCTGAGTGTGTAGCAGAATGGGTAAGTCTGACAGCGACCTTCTATACACGCATCTTTACTGACATCGCATAGGACAAGAACGTCGCCGAATGGGATACGCTCCCTAAAGAAGAGCAGGATAAGCGCATCGCCAGCAAACCGGCACCGCCCGGTGGCATCAAGCCTCACTAGACTTGAGCCTCTTGTATATATATATGGGTGGAAGGTGTCCATGACCGAATACATCGGGGTCTGCAGTGCGGCTGCATCGGGTCGGCGCGTGCGGGATGGAGCGGAGGTGTCGGGTGCTACCCATCGCGTCGTCAGCTCGTGGTAGGGCGCGGTTCGTCTCGAGCCTCAGAAGCCGAAGCGTAGCGCCGCGCAGTCTCGTACTCAACGGCCGCCATCGCCGCGGGTGTGGTTGGTGGTAGCTAGGGGGCGTGGTGATGGAGAGGTAGCGGAGCTCGCGTCTATGGACGATCAAGCAGATTTTGGGCCGTGACGTCATCGACGCGTCGGCCTACCACACGAATAATGTAATGTCATATGAACACAGCACAACAAGCAATCGCACTTCGCTCCGCCTTGATTCATCGCACGTCTTTCTCGCCCATGATCTCGTCTCTGAATATACGTCTTGTGGGAATTGGGGTGAGAGCTGGTCGTTACTCAGGCCACTGTTGAGAAGGCAAACCTTCGCGTCGCTCAAACAGTCGCGTGGGATATGCCTCTTTCCAATCGCTCACGGTATGTCTTCGAAGTTTCATCAATACACATAAAATATCCTACCAACATCATCATACCTAGGTACCTAGGTATGGTCTCCGACACATTAACAGTAAGTACAGTCAAGGACGCATTTGAGCTTCGACCTTGAAGCAAACAACTAAATCGTCTGCTCGACACTCGACGTAGAGGCTACGATCTCAACAGCGCACGGGTATGCCCTTCCACTAGTGTTACCAGCAAGTGGCCTAATCTCAACGTTCGCGGCCTTGATGCTAGGATGTGGGTCTCGATTTGGGTCCCAGGATAATGCGTACTACTGTCTAGACTATGCTAACTCGATTATTCTGATCGAATTTGATATTCACATCTCTTGAATCGGTTCCCGCGTCGAGAGACTCCAAAATTCACACAACCAAATATATGTCGCGCGAGCGCAATAATGTATCATGAAGAGACTTCTTTAGGATATACCCGCTTTTGTCGAGAAGGATGCCGGAGGAGGCAGACAAATATGAGAGCCCTCCTGATAACGCTGGTTGCGACATCTTAGGAGAAAGTTTTCTCATCCCGACTAAGAGCTTTGTGATATTGAACCTTTGCAGTAGTAACCCGAAAAGTTGAGGCTCCTCGATGAGAGAAATTCAGTGTATCGAAAGCTAGAGTGCATCTAGGAAGTAGCATGAGAACATTGGTTTGATTTCATTCTTGCGCGAGAATGGAACACGGTAAGACCGTTGGTGGATCAGATATGTCTTTTCTTTCACTCGACACACTTGGCTGGGCTACCTTGCTCACATTGCGAGCATGGCACTGATAGAGTTGTTTCATTATCTTTCACGCCATCGCCTATGTGGGTAATCGCTCCGGCAACTGTACTATGGACCGTACCATTCATTCACACTGCTCATACGATGTGTTGATCGCATCGCTCGATTTGACAACAATACTGGGAGCTAGCAATAACACCCAGAGTTCTGTTCTACAACTCCAAGTCATTGGCACACCTTCCTTGGCAGCGCAGATGTCGCGGCAGTCTTCGCAAGAATGGCAAACGCGCTCGCAGACCGAAACATATTCGACAGACGGGAGGCAGCAAAACTTCGTACCCGGGCTAGAAATAGGATTCCACACGACTACGTCCAGTTTCACTGGCGAGGAGAGTGCGGAGGAGAGCCATGGCGATGACCGCAACCAGAGAGTTGGCTTAAATCGACCTCACGCAATACCATCAGCAGGTGCTGTAGACACCAGCATGACAAACAACGACTTAATCCGCAGCTCAACACACAGCTCGACCTCTTCGAGTCTGCACTTCCTCAATCTGGGTGACTTGGCTACAGCATTGCCCCCAATTGGCTTGATCGGCTCGTCATCACAAGGACACTCAACGATACATGTTCGTCCAGCGAAGCCCTTCCGGTCCGCTCCCACGCGGATGTTCGCGCCACCAGGTAAACGCTCAACTTCTCCAACCGAGTCGATCGGCTCTAGCTATTCTTGGCGCTCTGGCAGAGCAGGCGTGCACGGTCGACTTTGCGATAAACCACAAGGACCGAGTATGACAGACTCATATGCAGATAGAGGTGAGGGCGTCCCCGAGGTAATCGATCACGAACAAAGAGGGCGGAGTAAGGAACGGGAACGGGAACGGGAAAGAGAGACGCGGCCTGGCCTCGCACGGAGACTGATTGGACGCTTCACAAGCTCCGATGTAGATGCGCAGAGAGACCAGCCAAGCAAACCGAGCACTGGAGATGTATACAGAGTGAGACGTGGTAAACGAAGGAGTACCAATTTCGGCTTCTAATCGAAATGGAGCTTAGAAATATGCCACGTGATACCATGGGCATATGACCAGATGATACACAGCCGCCATATCGCAGGATAGAAGCCGCGTAGATATTGAGCTTATGAAGACCTTTTCGTAAGGTGGTCTCCTGGCATCGTGAGAACACAGGTCGAGAAGGAAGGGGACCCGCACGTCGCGCGATCGATGACGTCAGTCACGTGCTGTCTATTTGGCGGGTACCAAGATAGTGTAGATTGACTATGTACTTAATCCAAACCCTATAAGTGGACTGTCTCGCATCTTGCAAACTGACAATCGTGAGAAGAGAAGACGCGGCGCAGAAGCGAATGTCCTGTCAAGTCCGCACGTACTGCCCAGGTGAGTTTAGTGTCTTCGAAACTGTGCACGGGCAATGACGTCCCCATCGCGAACGCGCGCCCGACCTTGGATAGCTGCCAATCTTCCCACTTCCCTTTCAGCTCCTCATCTCCTTCTACTTGTTTTCGTCAAATCACGTCAGGATTCTGCCTATCACGTTTCGTAGTCGTTCGTAACAGCCATGCGGCGGCGGGGTAACTTAATCTTAGCTGGGTGCAACGCGCCCGCGTGGTGGCTTAGCGCGACGATGGGACGCCGCACTGCCGTTCGCTCACCCTCGTGACAGCTTGCGCCGCTAATGCACTTCTCACTTCCTGCGACTTCATTGCAATCCATCAGCGGCGATTGAGGTCAAACTTTGTTGGGCAGTTTGCGACGCCATTCAAACACGAGAGGACGCTATGGACCATGTCAGCGCATCTCTCGAACTCCTTCATCGTACGTGTCACCGTCAATAATCGCTTGAACTCCTCGATCAACGACCTACCACGTTCTAAGCTTCGTGTATTTCACGACATTGTGCAAGAGATGGCTGAACTAAAAAGGTTTTGACTAATCGTTTGTCTGCTCTCAAACACGGAACAGGAGACAATGGAGTTAGATTCACGATGCTAACGTCGCTGTAGTCATCTGCGCAACTTTGATCTTTGTCCGCGACGTCACGAAAGACACAAGCGGCGTAACTAATACAACGAACTTTTTAAACGAGACGCTTGTGTTCCTGGATGTGTTCTCGAATGTCTGCTTCAGCGACTTAACCGGAGTTTTACGCGACAGTCGTTTACATCGTATCTTACCAAGTGATGTAGAGCACTCTCTTTACTCGCTCAACAAGTCTCTAGCCGCACATCGGGAGGCGTGGAGGTACATCGGCAAGAGTCCCACCCCCGGTGCGGGGCAAAGAAGCATTGAGGATCTGAAGCGCGGTCGTGCTGCGTCACTAGATGTTCAGCATGAAAAGAAGAGCTGGAGAGACGAAATGAAAGAACGCTCGCAACTCTGGCGGGAAAAGGCGCGGCCAGGGCTATACAAAGCATTGTTCGGAGAAGAGGAGATGGCCACACTCACCTTGAATTGCTTGCAATGGACACATCGGCTTCGTCAAACTCTGGAAATTGTCTTCCTTGGCATCGGACCTCCGGATCCAGGATTCGGTAATTCCAGGCAGGCTGCTATTCTTGGCGTGGCAGAACAACTCGAACGCCAGCATCGAGCAGGTGCAGAACCTTCGGGCGACTATACTGCGCTCGTTGGCGCGCTCAGAGAAACGATCAGCACTGGGCAGCCATCGCATGGCCTTATCAAGACGATATACGATGACGGTGGAGATGAAGTCGACGTTCTTGTTGAAACGCGATCGGACGACGAGACGCCTGCTGAGTACATGTGTCATTTGACGTGGTTGCTACAAGCTCCTCATCAGACTGACGTATCCGTCAAGAGCGACGCCCAGAACGGCTACCAGCTGCATACATTAAGCTGTATGGGTTTCATCGATGATCCACTCAACAGAAGGAGTCTGATCATCTACCGCGCTCCGCAAAGCCATCCTTGGGCATCAAACCCACCGTCTTTGTATGACATGATCTCGAAGGGTCCGACCGCGAGACCCTCAATAGGAAGTCGCTTTCTCATCGCAAGAGCGCTGACAAGCACACTACTCGAGTCGCATGCCTCCGGCTGGGTTCACGGGAACGTACAGTCGCGCAGTATCGTAATGCTGCCAAGATCGTTTAACGATCTCGAGTTGTCTCCCTTCTTTGTTGGCTGGGGTGTCCTCCAACCCCTCGAGGCCACGCACTTCCCGTTGGAGCCGAACCTGTACCGCCACCATGACCGTTTTGGCCGACCATCTTCAGAATATTCCAACGAGCACGAGATCTACTCACTGGGCGTGGTTCTTCTAGAGCTTGGACTATGGCGGACGATGGCGAAAGTCTTCGCCCGCCGCATAGAGAAGTTTCCAATCTTCGGCATAGTACAGCAGCAGGATCTCTTTAATCGTATACACAATGCGATACTAGATTGGGCCAACAGTACCGAAATCGAGAGAGAGATGGGAAAGGCTTACGCGCAAGTCGTGTCAAAGTGTCTTACTTGGCACTATGAAGATCCAGTCGAAGGCATGATTGAGTTCCGAAAGCAAGTCGTGGACGTGTTGACTACAGGATGTGGATTATAGCTGGTGGACTGCTTCTGGACATCAAACCCAGTCGAATTGCGACAAATACCAAATTTGAGAGCGATTAAATACTAGCGACTGAGGACGAGGAGTGGTCGCGCAAACAGAGCAACGGCGTCAGCGGAAAGAGTCCTACGCCAAACACCAAATACAAGCGCGCATGCAAACAGCAACGAATGTGTCGACACACAAACCTCTTGGGCGGGGAAAGTGATGTTTCGTATGCTATATGTTGGCGCTACGACCTCGCATCAACGGTTGAGTCGGTCCACCCTCTTCGTCAGTATATACAATACAACAGTATATGGTAGTCCAAGCTTTCAGATCACTTATCGGTTACGATGTTCGGGGTTCTTCCAGTGGTCTTCACGCCAAGTGAGCTCCCTGGCTCACTGTCCGGAAAATGCTATGACCACACATGGCCAGCGTCTGTCATTGCAGGCTTTCCAGAGCTGCTATGACGTTACGAAAATTATATCACCTCGCCATGGGCCCGTTTAGGAGATGCAAATGAGCACGGGCACCCAGAGGGTGCTTCGTCTACTGATAAATAGCCCGTCTCTTACACTCAAGCACCTTGGCTCCCCTCCACCCTTACACCCACCAGCGCTCCCAAAGTCTTGGTTTCACCGGCTGTACCGCGACTACCGCTCTCCTCGCACATCGCCCCGCCCTCACCTCTTCCGACAATCGCTTAGAAGACTGCGCCGGCCCGCCCAACTCAATATCCATATCCCCTAGCTCCAAGACCAAGGCCCAAGCATCGAAATGTACGACGAAAACGAGGACTTCGCTCCTGAAGACTTGGCCTGGGTCGCGGCCGACGTCGCAAAGAACGAGGAAGAAGAGATGAATCGCGCTCTTCAGGCGAGCCGAGCTACAATGGGAGATGGAGTGCCACCTCGTCCTACGAGCGCTAGGGCCGCCAGTCAGCCCGAGGACGAAGACGAGGAGACCCTTCTTGCGCTTTCCGTCAGCCGGGTAGTGACAGAAGAGGCGGACCGGAAACGCAATGCTGACGCAGAGGCGGACCACCAACGCCTTCTCGAGGCTCAAAGGCAGTCTGAGCGTGAAGCACAGGCTGTCCATCAGGAACGCGAGGATACTCTTGCTGCGCTTTCCATCAGCCAGGTAGAGGCCGAACAGGCGGATCAGAAACGCAATGCTGACGCAGAGGCGGACCAACAACGACTTCTCGAAGCTCAAAAGCAGTCGGAGCTTGAGGCCCTAGCTGCCGATCAGCAACGCAATGCTACCCGAAAAGCTGAACTACAGTCTCTAAAGGATGAGCGTGCTCGGGCTCAAGCTGCACGATTACGCCAAGAGATCTTTGATCAAGCCATCGTCGAGAGCAAGGTGGCAGCCGAGACTGAGCAGCGGCAACATGAACAAGAGTTTGCGTGCCTTCAGGAGGCATACGCTGTGCGTGGCCTGAGCGAGGACGAGCAGCTGCAGATGGCTTTAAGACAAAGTCAAGATGAAGAACATTCTCGGGAAGTTGCACAGGTCGGGCAACTTCGAGAGGATATGCTGCGCTGGGTGAGCGAGCAAGAACAAAACTCTGGACCACCAGGCGAGCCATCGGCTACCCAGCGTTCAGAAGACCGTCCAGTTTTGGGGGCCATGGCGTCATATCCTCCAGGTCCGGTCACTGAGCAGCAACAAAGGAGCGTGGCCGATGCTCAGGAGTTCATTGACAACCCGAATGTACTCTATCGGCCTTTAACACCGATCTCAGAGGCATCTGCATCGCGACCAGCAAGTCTTCGATCAGTGGCAGCAGACCAAGCCCGACGCTCTAACATCGTCACCGCCACAACCACGACGGATCACAGCAGGATAGATATCAGGCTGCCATACCCACCTGGTGCACTTCTTACACCACCAGCCTCTGATAGAAGCAGATCTTCCATCCGATCAGTTTCATCAGGCCGTCCGCCATCGTATCATACGGTAGAAGAGAATCCTGCGCGGAGAGTGGAGTCGTTTGAGGTATCCCATGATATCCCGAACGAGTCGCAGACTAGCGAAGAGCCTCCCCGATATCCTGGCGCTTATCCTCCGTCTCCTTCCCAGACCGGTTCGGCGGCTGCTAGTACGGTGCTCGATTCAAGGCCGATTGCTGGGACGCCCTTACTTCCAGGAGCATACCCCCCTTCGTACGCGAGCAGTAGAGCACCTCGCAGCGTGACGAGAGCATTTTCTGAGACGCCTGTGCAAGAAAGTGTCGTGTCTCGACGCCCGTTGGGCAATAGGGGATCCAGCAATGTGTCTTCAGTGCCCTCATTCCAGGGCCAAACTGCGGGTAACAGTCATCTGCAGGGAACCAATGTGTCTACGCGAAGCGAATCGTTCCCTGGCGCATATCCGCCATCGTCGCAAGCAAGTGGTGTACCGAGTCGGCTGAATACGGTATCGTCCGGAGGGACATTCTTCACAGCCCAGGAAACGCAGGCACCTCAGCGCGTTTCAACACCACAGGTCACTCTCTCCGATCTCTGGAATCATCGGGACCGAGATATTTCTCAGCGGGAAGGACCAGACCACCGTCCGTTCACACCCGTTTCGTCATCTCCACGTTCAAGCGAAGCCTCATCTGCTATTCGACCGCCGTCGTCTCGCACGTCTCAGGGAAGTTTTACGCGTAAGCCTGTTGCAAGATCTCAGCACGCTACTTCCGTTGCTGCTGAGCACCCACCGCCAGCCACTGCTGCCGATGCTGTCAGTTCGTCTGACGTGATCTCGTCTGGCTTGCGGCAGGACCCGGTGACAAACATATTCAACGCTCCGGTCAGCGTGACCATCAATAACTTTCCCGAAGCGCCCAAGCCCTCCCAGAATCTACTAAAGCAAGTCTTTAATAAGAGCAGGCAGACTAACAAGGGCATTAAAGTTGTCGAGCAGAAAGGGCCAGGGTTTTACGTCAAGGGTATAGCTGAAGCAGCACTAAAGAGTGGCACAACATATGTCAATAAGAAGACAAGCTGGTTTCAGCCCAAATCCTCTTCTACGGCTGAACAGTCTATACTCAGGGATTTTGAGGGAACAGGTCGAGCATATGTACCCCCATTCGTGGACACGGGCAGCATTGCTAGTCCTTTGCCTTCGAGACAGCCTTTGCACGTCGTGAACCCAAGTCCATCGCGGTCGACTCCCACGATCCCAGCGACGCCAAAGGTACCTGAGACCTCACATCAAATGATGACAACAGGAATTACACCTCGAAGGTCACCACGCTCCGACCTGAGCATGGCTCATACGAGAAGGCCGCTGCAATCAGAATTACCCGGACGACAGAGTGATGAGCTCGCCACTCCTCGGCCGTCTACATTTCAGCGGTCGGTGACGTCACCTCCGCTGGCAGCGATGATACAGTCGAGACCAATATCGCTGGATCAGTCAACTGTGTCCCAGATCTCCGACGTGAACGGTAATGCCGTGACTCCGCCTAGCGTCTGTCAATCGAGAGTGAGAAGCTCGATGGACAACGATAGTTTCAGGTGCGGTTCTGAACTCCGGCCTGAGCCCCTGAACGTGCGCAAGCAGCCTCCTCGTGTGCCACCAAAGCCTTTGGAGTTGGCGAGCCCTATGACGCGCACGGAACCTCCTCCTCCGCCTCCTCCTGCGAGCCGCAACCCGATGACGAGGCGTATGCTCAGCGAACCAGAAGAAGGGTCTGGGTGGTTGCATCAACCAGTGCAGTTCACAATATCAAATCCGACGCAAGGGCCAACAATAGGCTCACCGGATTCCATGACGGTGACACCCCCAACACCTCGGCGGATCAACGTAGATTTGAACCGGCGCAGTCAATTTGGGCCTATTGATACGAGCCTGGCGAACGTGCCTCATGGTGAACGTCGCATCGACGAGTTCAGCTCGCGTTCAATGATGGATCTAGGCATGATGGGCCAAGTAGGCAATCCTGCGATAATGGAGACACTGCGTGGACAGTACGAGCAGACCTATGCCCGTCCATCGCACGTGCAGCAGGAAAGGCTGAACTCGGATGCGAGGGCAAGGAAGAAGGAGAAGGATACGCAGAAGGCTTTACGGAAGCAATTTTGAAGGTTGGAAAGGCGCAAAGGAGCGAAGCCTGGAGTAGAGAGAGAGCCCCCATCTGACTATTTCAGCGACGTTTTATTAAGTATCGCAAGCAATTGTATGTTGTTTTCCATCTTTGGAGCGGTTGCAGTGATGTTATTGCATGCTCATCTTGTCATAGAACGACGCAACAGGCTTGGAGGTTTACGGCTACCCGTTTCGTCCGCTTGTCAACCGGACCGGAAACAAGCATCTCAGATAACGTTACCCGACGTCGCGCGTATGAGTGGTGGGGTAGTGACCCGCTCGAGCAGGGGTGTCGGCTTCTCTATCAATTCCCGATCGATAAGCAGCGGAGATGCACACCTTCGCAATAAGACCAATTGTTTGCTGCGAACTAAAAGGGGACAAGCACCCAACGAGCAGGCCCAAGAATAGTCTTTGGAAGCGATTCAGAACACCAGCAATCAATCTCACAAGGCTTCAAAGCATGGGATCTATGGATATCGCAAGTGGTATGAAGACGGTACGCGATCGACGTGGATAGTCAAAACCCTTTACTAACACCGAATAGAGTTGGAGTCGTTTAGTGCGATTCGTCGCGACCGAGGACGGTGCTGAGCATATCGGCGAGCCCATCGATGCTGAGCTGGATGGTATGCCGATTTCCAAGCTTTACTTGCTATATCTAACGAGTCGCAGTCGGTGCAGCCCTTGCCTCTGGATCGGAAGTCAAAGTCCGCGTCTTCACAGGATCGTCGGTACTCTCCGTGGATACCCAGCCAACATTAGTGACCTACACGATATCCAGACTACTGCCACCGCTTTCAAAAGCAGAAGTCGGAACCATCCGCTGTATAGGCCTGAATTATCGGAAACATGCCAAAGAGATGAACTTGGACCTTCCCGACCACCCGACGCTGTTCTTCAAGCCTTCGACATGCCTAGGGGCGCCGAATGCGCCCTTGATCATTCCACATCAGGCGACAGATGGTCAAGCCGACTACGAAGCCGAACTTGCGGTTGTCATCGGGAAGCCAGCCAAGAACGTGAGCAGAGAAGATGCGATGGATTACGTGATGGGCTACACATGTTCGAATGACGTAACCGCGCGAGTCCACCAGTTCAACGGCGCGCAATGGGGGTTCGGCAAGGGCTTTGATGGCTTCGCGCCAATAGGGCCATGCTTGGTATCCGCGTCTTCGATACCAGTCCCCGGCGATATTGAGCTGAAGACGGTACTTAATGGCGAAACGATGCAGTACTCTTTGGCGAACGATATGATCTTCAGCATACCAGAAATAGTGGCATATCTGAGCCAAGGAACGACGCTGGAGCCAGGTACTGTAATCATGACGGGTACGCCGCATGGAATCGGTGTGAGCAAGGTGCCAAAGGTATGGCTCAAACCGGGAGATGATCTGAGGATTGTAATGAGTCATGGTATGGGAAGTCTGGTTACACCCGTAGCTTATGAGGAAGCTTAGAGTATATACCGACAGCGAGGCTACATGACATACAAGTTAAACAGTACCATCTCCTTAGAGAGCAACGAGATATGCCAAAACCATGGTTGCACAATTGACGGGGTCGGCAGTGTCTACAGAGCGTGATGTGCTATTGGAAGCCGAACAGCATCTGCTCTTGTGTGATGTTATCCAGTACATTCTCCCAGTGTTGTAGATCGGTTGGTTCAAACAAGGTGGTGAAAGATGGGTCACCCCATGGAGGCGCATGCCATTGGAAGGGCCCACCTGCACCTATCGCCGGCAGATCTGGCACCGTTGCCGAGCTATCTTCCGTATAAGGTGATGTCAGGTCGATGGTATTGGCACCATGCACGGCAGGTGGCGCATTGTCTGCTATGTTGGGACGTGTTTCGGTACGACTAGCACGAAACTGATTTGCTTTCTTGATGCAGAGTTCAATGATTTTGACCTCAGCTAGCGCGAACTCATTGAGCCAAATATCGGCTCTTTGCATCTCGCAATATGCGGAGAGGTCCTCTAGTATCGCGCGACATTTAGGCGAGTGTGGATCTTTGACAGCGATTATTCCGAGGACTAAAGCACTGTTGAAGAGGTGGTGTGGACCCAAAGTCCACTTCAGACGGTCATTCAATGGCTGTTGGAAGTAATCGATGCGCATGGCAAGGTCTGCGCATGCCGACGATATGCACGCATCGTGACTATATCTGAAGCGATTGGTGATACTTTGGCGCAGCAAGTACGGTCGATGAAGCGTGACGCGGGCGAAATGGTACATGGAGTGGAGATGCAAGCGATTCCAGTAAAGGAAGGGGTGCGTGCTATCCATAGATGTAACTGGGGTTTTCAGATGATAGTAGTCTGGTAACCTTGCCTCCCAGTCGATAATCTCATGGTCTAGCGAAATGACGGTGTCGTACGAAACGGTAAAGAGACCAAAGCAACGCTCTTGAATGCTGCCGATAATCTTTGCCAGATCGTGTGCGAGAAAGTTGTAAACGCTCAGAGTCGGCTCAGACATTGGTAGTTCTGGAATGGCGGACGTGTCCTCGTCCGGTTGGTCGTCCAACCAGACGTTGGTGGTTCTCTTGACGAGACATTGCTGGTCAACTATGGCGAAGGGACGACCGATGGCAAGCGCGATAGTTTTATCCAAGGTGTAAAGATGGCTCCACAAACGCCTTCGGGTTTCGGTCTCTTTACGCGAGAGACGCCAACGTTCGCCATCGATATGCATGCCTTGTGCTTGGGCCATACGCATGGCAAAACTGGTCGTAAGCCAAGCCTCTGGTACTCTTCGCAAATGGATCAGATAGCGTGTGACCAGAAGACCGGCACGAACAAGATCTGTCGACTCTCCGTAAAATGTTGGTGCAATGACTATAGCACGTCTTGCTGCCCAGTAGAAGCGTAGTGATGTCTCTTGAAGCTCACGTTGCACTTCGCCATTCTTTGGATGGGGGCAGTCGAGGAAAACACCGTACGCAAGCACAATGAACAGCAATGCCAGCCACCTGAGATCGACAGATGCATAGTCATCGAAGCCGAATTTACGCTCCCAGAACTCGTCATACTTCAATTTGAAAGACTGCGGATGGATGGCGTCTATGGTCCAATTCAGCTCGTCGAGAAAGACATGTACGAGGCGATCGACGCTGGCCTTGTTGCGCGGCAGCAAACCTAGGAGATCCCAGATCTGCGAAAAAGGGCCTCCAACATCGCGGAAAGATTGCGCTGAGGCTGCAGCATGCCGTATGCCGGAGGAAAGATCTGGTGCGGGCTCTTCGATTATTTTCGCTGCAGCTTGAGGTCCGAAATAGGATGAGCCGAAAAAGGATGGGGCATCTCGACTGCGGAAGAGATTACCGACTTGTGCGTCTCTGGGTTCGGGCGAGTTTCTGGCACGCGTAGAAGTGGTCCGTGTGTCTTCGCGGTAACATTAGCACCAATCTTTGCAACAAGCGTGTCGACAAGGCTCTCGCATTCTACTGCGTGAAGGCCAGCGCCGATAGAAACGTACCTGTTGGATTCTCTGACGATATATCATCATTCAGAGGGATAGCGGCGACACGTGAAGTTTGCCGACGACGGGCTTCAGCCTCGTCGCTGTACGTGCAGCTCGAGGCAACGTCGCGTCTGCTGCAGTTGAAGCATGGCAGCTCTCCGTCGCACTGCGTAGGCCATCAGCTATCTATCCGATGTATTGAGCATTGCTCGTGGAATGGTTGCAATCGTTCATAACGGAAGCACTGCGAAGATGGCTGGGTTGGAGGGTCGTCATCACAACGCGTTATCGCGCCGCGAAGCTCGGAGCGACTGCTTACGTCATACGCACCTTTTGCTTCCGCCGATGGCACGCGACACAGCTCTTCGCTTGTCGACCTCTCTTCCTCTTCTTCCTCTTCTTCGCTGACGGACCTTCGTCACCTCTGTCCATTTCTCCCTCGTATCGCGTCTCCGTCATGTTGATGATTCCCGATAACGCTGGGATTTAGCCGATAGTATCTCTATCGGACGCCTGCCTGCCAATGTTCCTAGCGCATCCTCCATGCGTATCATGCCCACTTTAGCAGGGCTCGCTATCTTCCCGCGTCGGACAATTCCTTAGGCACCGATCGGCAATAATGTTGTCCCAGGTCAAGATGAACGGTATAAGGTATATGTCATGGCAGATGGGTCTGGTTTGGATCGCAAGCCTGTATCATGAGCTTTCCGTCTCGTCTAGCCGCGGAAGACGACACCACCGACACTATGTCGCATCCAACCCCGGATGATAAGACCTTTGATGGCTCAGTTCACGAGAAGGATACCCAAATTGGCGCTAGCGAAGAGATTCATATTGATCCAGTCGCTGAGAAGAAGGTACAAGCAATGCACGCAAAACTGGGTATCACGTGCTGACTAAGATCCACAGCTTATTCGCAAACTGGACCTCATTTTATCTCCGATGATGGTATTGGTGTTTCTGGTAGGCATACAAACTCCCATCCACTACAACGAGCCTAACAAGTGTGCTTCAGGTGGCCTACCTCGACCGGTCCAACATCGGTACACACATCTCGCAATAAGAATTTACAAGGTCATTTGCTGATAGCGCTCAGGAAATGCTGCCATCGCAGGCATGAACGAGGATCTGGGACTCACCGGCAACCGTCTCAACGTTGCCGTAACGCTCTTCTACGTCACCTACATCGCCTTCGAGGTTCCAGCCTCTATATTGTTGAAGAAGCTGCGACCATCCCGCCTAATTCCAACATTCATCATCGGCTGGAGCGCTGTCATTGTCGGGGCTGCTTTCATCGAGAACTACGCCTCTCTCATCGCTACCCGCCTGCTCCTCGGTGCCTTCGAATCCGGCCTGTTTCCGTGCTTGACGTTGTACCTGAGTATGTACTACAAGCCTCTGGAGCAAGCGCGGAGGGTGTCGTATCTCTTTGTTGCATCTGCACTAAGCGGTGCATTCGGCGGGCTACTGGCGTACGGTCTCACAAATCTCCATGGCGCGAAAGGACTAGCTGGTTGGCGCTGGCTATTCTTGGTGGAGGGTCTCATCTCCATCATCGTCGGTGTTGCTACCATCTTCCTACTACCTGACAATTTCGAGACCGCGTGGTGGTTGAACGAAGACGAAAAGGCTCTGCTTCGCGCCCGACACGAGAACGAACGATTGTACCAGGGCAAGTCGATGACAACAGATGCCTTGGACAAGTCGGAAGTAAAGCTTGCTTTCCGCGATCCCAAAGTATGGCTCAGCTCTGCTTGCCAATTCTGCGCCAATACCTGCTCCTTCGGCTTCTCAACATTCCTCCCCGTCATCATTCGTGGATTTGGATACTCTAGCATTCGCACTCAGCTCCTCACCGTGCCCGTGTACATCTGGGCCTCGGCAGTATATCTTTTCGTCGCTTTCTGCTCGGATTACTTCAACCGACGAGCGTTCTTCATGGTTCCTTTGGCGTTAGTTACCTCAATTGGTTATGCCATGATGCTGGGTGTCTCCATGTCCTCGACCGGGGTGCTGTACTTTGCGACCTTTGTCACTGCTACTGGCATCTACTGTGTCGTGGGTTTGAACGTTACCTGGGTGATCAACAGCAATGCGGGATACTTCAAGCGCGCCACCGCCATAGGACTGCAACAAACGATCGGTAACTCGGCGGGTATCATGGCCGGCCAGATCTACCGTATTACGAATGACGATGGTCGTTATGTGATTGGTCACGCGGTCTCCATCACAACGATCACAATCGCGGCATGTGGCTACGCTCTCATGTACTTCACTTTGCGCGGTATTAATAAGAAGAGAGAGGTAATGTCTATCGAGGAACGAATCCGACAGATCGACTCAGGTAAACTTGGCGATCGCCATCCCGACTTCCGGTATACATTGTAGATACACAACCACAAAATAACGAATGCATTTCCCCATTACTAGGCTATGCAGAGGATCCAGGCTTCAGTCCCTTGAACGTTTTGGTGATATTGGTTATCGCGTCTTCGACTGGCAAGCGCTCCATAGAGCTTGCGCCGTAGAAACCATGTACGCCTTTCGTTCGGCTAATCACATATTCCGCGTCCTCTGGCTTTGCGATGGGGCCGCCGTGACACAAGATGATGACGTCCTCTTTGATACCCGTTGCAGTATCGCGGATCTCCTGGATTAGCTTAACGCAATCATCCAAGCTCTTTCCACTACTCGCCCCAATGCTTCCACTCGTCGTAAGGCCCATATGAGCGACCAGAATATCCGCGCCTGCGTTCGCCATCTTTTTCGCCTCTTCCACATTAAACACATACGGCGTCGTTAGAAGGTCCATCTCTCGCGCCATCTTCATGACTTCCACTTCGGCGTCGTACGACATTCCTGTCTCTTCGAGATTCTGTCGGAAAGTTCCGTCAATCAATCCGACAGTCGGAAAGTTTTGGATGCCGGCGAAGCCGAGGTCTTTGAGTTGCTTCAGGAAGCGAGACATATCTCGGAACGGGTCGGTCGCGCATACGCCAGCCAGTACCGGCGTGGACTTGACGATGGGGAGGACTTCGCCAGCCTGATATTGTTAGCAGCTGCATCGGTGCGACTGTTATTATCATATGGCATACCATTTCCAACACAACATCATTAGCGTTTCCGTATGGCATCAAACCAGCCAACGAACCGCGGCCTGCCATTCGATACCTTCCGCTATTGTATATGATAATGAGGTCGCCGCCACCGGCTTCGATAAATTTCGCGCTCAGTCCAATGCCAGCGCCCGCACCAACAATGATCTTGCCATTGTCGATTTGTGAGCGGAGATTTTGTAATATACTTTTGCGATCGGTTGGGGGTGACATGCTTGCGTACTAAACGCACTTCAGCTCTCTATTAGAGGGGCAATGAGGGGTTTAATTTCAGAAGATATAATCGGAAGACTCGATGCTGTAGTGATGATGCAGGGTCGTGCTGTTGAAGTATGCACGATGACGTAATGCAGGCGCGGGGGTCATCACACCGGTGTTAGCAGCTACGGTCCACTCGATACTCATACATTAACATTTTGTGTTTTCCATCAGACAATTATATCGTCATGTCTTCTCACCCACGCGTCGTACTTCTCGGTACTTGCGACACAAAGTTGGAGGAGCTTCTTTTCCTCCGCAAAGAAATAGAACAAAACAATGTCGACGTGACGTTGATGGATGTAGGTAGAAAGCGTATAAGGCACAGTTCCATCAGCATCAGCCAAGACCAACTGCTGAAGGATCAAGGTGGCGTAGAAGATGTGAGTGAGTTACCTCGAGGCGAAGTCATCAAGACGATGGCTGCTCGTGCTACCAAGGCAGTCAAGAAATTGTTTGAAGAAGGAAAGATACACGCTGTCATCAACGCAGGAGGCTCGGGTGGCACATCCCTAGCGGCAGAAGTGATGAGAACCGCACTTCCCATCGGCTTCCCCAAACTTATCGTTTCTACCGTCGCAAGCGGTGACACTGGACCCATCGTTGGAGAAACGGATATCACTTTGATGTACAGCGTAGTAGACGTCGCTGGTCTGAACGAGGTACTCCGAAACGTGCTCAGCAACGCTGGAGCCGCCATCGCAGGAATGGCTCGAGCATACGCGTCTCGTCAAAAAGATGCCCTCCAATCTCAGAAGAAGCGCGTCGGTATTACCATGTTCGGTGTTACTACCCCAGCCGTCGATTCTATACGAACACATCTGGAAGCAAATTACGATATTGAAGCGTACGTCTTCCACGCTACCGGCCACGGTGGAAAAGCAATGGAGCGACTTGTCAAAGAAGGAGGCCTTGATGCAGTGCTGGATCTTACCACTACCGAGATATGCGACCACATGACCGGCGGTGTCATGAACGCGGGCGAGCATCGTCTCGAGGCTGCTACAGAAGCTGGAATACCATATATCGTCTCCGTAGGCGCGACTGACATGACAAACTTTGGCCCCATGAACACGGTACCGGAACGATACAAGGACCGCAAACTTTACGAGCACAACCCTGTCGTCACCCTGATGAGGACATCCGTAGACGAAGCGACTCAAGTCGGCGATTTTATTGCGGCGAAGTTGAAAACTCATGCGAAGAACCCTGAGGTGATTCAGATATGGCTTCCAAAGGGCGGTATTAGCATGATTGCGGTCCCTGATGGGCCGTTTCAAGACGAAAAGGCGGATGCGGCGCTCTTCGATGCGATAAGAAGAGGGCTCCAGGATAGTAAGGTCGAGATAATTGAGGACGAGCGCGCGATCAACGATGAAAATTTTGCGCGCGACATCGCGGAGGCTCTAGTCGCAAAGATGGGTATCGGTCGGAAGGCGAATTGATGCGATGCCGTATGACCTTGAGGTGCACAGAAAGAGTCGTTCAACCAACTCCATGCGCATGATTAGCTACACGGACAGATTCAAGCATGAAAGATGACATGTGGTGGCTGCTCCTGGCCCCGCAACCGGGGCGCACCTATATTTATCGTAAGGCTGTGCTGTCTCCAATGTCCATCACAAGGCAGCATTACGCCCGTATACACGTCTCATACGATGCCCTGCCCCTGAATGGCTATGCGAGATGAGCAACAAGGCTATGTGGGTTCAGGCGTTCTGCGCTAGCTAGCCGATGAACCGTGACTGGACGCATAGCACAGCGGCTGGATGGGCAATACTAGCGCTGATCCTGTGCCACTTGACAAACATCACCAGCTGTTTTTCCTGTCTTGTTGCTTTTTGAGGTACTGGCTTTTCTACTGTCAACTTCTATCTCGCAGCTCAACTACACTCTTTTCGTCTTTCATCATGTTCGCACGCGCTAGCGTCCTGTCACTCACTTTATCATGCATCATCAGCTCTACCGCCGCGCTAGACTTGGATGTTCAGAACCAGGGTAACAACGGTCGTCCCCACTTGCGTAACTAAAGCTTAACATCGATAGACTCCATCAAGAGTGCTGCAAAAATGCTTGCTAATGGTCTTGTTACTTTCTATAATGAGAGCGTGTCCGAATCTGGAATCCCCGGCATCTTCCCCGATCCCTACTACTGGTGGGAAGCCGGTCTCGTTTTCAACGCGTTGATCGACTATTCCTACCTGACTGGCGATAGCGAGTATGATTCCATCGTTTCCGAAGGCATTCAAGCGCAGCTTGGTGAGGATTATGCCTTTATGCCAGCGAATCAAACTGGTCAAATTACCAACGAGGATCAAACCACCTGGGCTCTAGCAGCCCTGACCGCGGCCGAAACTAGCTTCTCACCACCAGAGAACAGATCGTGGACTGAATACGCCGCCGAGGTATTTAATGTACAGGTGCTAAGATGGGACGAAGAAACCTGTGGAGGAGGTCTTCGTTATACAATCTTCACGTTCCAGTCTGGATACGACTACAAGTCTAATGCTGCCACCGGCGACTTCTTCCTCCTGGCTGCCCGCCTAGCCAAACTTACCGGCAACGAGACTTACTCTGAATGGGCGGATAAATCGTATACCTGGGCCAAGGACCGGGGATTGATCAGCGATGATTATGATGTTTACGACGGTACTTCTGCCAGCTTAGATAATTGCGAGGATGCCAATCGCGTGCAGTGGTCGTACATCCACTCGGTATATACAGAGGGCTCTGCTATCATGCAGAACATCGTGAGTATCTCTCCTTGTTTGACCAGTTTCATGCTAATAGCCACCGGCAGACCAACGGCGAACAGAAATGGACCGATGCCGTACAAGGCTTCGTGAACTCTTCCAATATCTTCTTCGAAGACGATATCCTCACAGAGATAGCCTGCGAACGTAACGGTAAGTGCAGCATCGATATGCGTTCTTTCAAAGGTATCACCGCACGCTCGTATGCCCGTGCAGTTATCGCTGCTCCTTCCCTCGCAGAGCCGCTCACCAAGAAGCTCGAAGCGTCCGCCAAAGCCGCCGCCGGTATATGCGAAGAAGTTTCGGAAGATGTGAAGTGCTCGCACTCATGGGATCATGCGGATAGTTTGGAAACTGCTAGCGACGGCAATTTAGGTGAGGTGTTCAGTGCGCTGGCTATAGTGCAGAGCCTGCTGTTCTCCAAGGCTAACCCGCTCGCTTCGAATGGGACGGAAGCTGGGGGTGGTGACAGCGTGACGCAGAGTGGGGATGCGTCGGGTACATCTGGAGCTGAAGTGCCCAAAGAGACGGGCGCGGCAGGGACGATCGCTGCGAGTGTCACGGCGGTCTTGGCTGTGGCTTTTGCTGCAGCACTCAGCTGCTAGAATTATCCATCTTAGCAATTTAATTTTTTCCAGGGTGAGCCCCAGCCGATGGAATATCGGAAAAAGGTGCAATACGGCTACATTGAATCGCGTCCCTTTCATCTCATCACGCGTGGTATTTCCAGCACTATCTAGAAGACTGCGACGATACCGATGTTGATGCTGAATACTCTCCATTGATGTATCGTGCCTTCATCAACCCAATTAACGGTAAGTTGAACATGGCTCCCATCCTTACACTCGAAGATAGCTTCAGATCTTGCCTCAGGACGTGGACTTTGACTTTCCACCTTGATATCCAGTGTATACGATGACGGGGATGGTCCGGCCTCGCCCGAGAACTCCAAAGATAACATGTCAAGCTGGCCCTCTATGAAGGAACGTGTGTAAGTCATTGTTGTCGGATCCCAATTTTTTGGGCCTCTTGGTATGTGTCCCGCAGTATGGTTTTGAGACCATCCTGTTACATCTGCGAGGCGCCAACCCAGTTTTTCGATGAAATGGTTCGAGTTATTGATGACATATGACTCATTGAAAGAGCCAAGTTTCATTTCCAAACGAACGATAGTGACGCTCTTCTCAGTGCGTTTGATGGCATCTCTGATACTCACAAATACCGTTCTCGAGACCTTATGTCCACCCGCACTCAGGGCTGC